GGATAACTGATGCACGTTCAACACGGACGGGTGAAACGCGAACGCGATGGATGATCCTCCATGGTAGCGGCGACGCGAGCGAACGCCGACTGACTGACTGACTTCATCCATTGCCCTCTGACACGATTGTTCACCACCACTGTCATTTCACCGATTCGCTTTCGCGCTACCTGGCCACCGCCGGCAACAATCGGTGCCCTTGTTCGCCAACGTGCCGCCGTTTCCACCCCCCACCGACCAAGGGGTGGTTGAACGATGTATCGCTCCCTTTAATTCGAACCACCCCCGGTACTACCGGCACGTTTCGATCAAAACACACTGTATATACGAGGGTGGTCGAACTCTCCTCGCCTGTTACACATTTTTAATTGTTCCCCCGCTTTCACTGTATATATCAGTTTACTATATCCGTAAGAGTTCGTCAATAATTCATGATATTTTAATTCTGATTAATAATAAGTTGATGACTAGATGAGAATTCTTAATTTCTTTATATTATCTTCATTATATTTGATAAAAGAAATATGTTTGTCTTGATAAAAACGACTCACTTAAAGAATAAAAATAATGCAGTCTGTTTGCATTGAATTAATAATTTTAGTTGACTTAGAATCGAATGTGCGATACGATTATTCCCAGTGAATGTATTTATAAATAAATAATTAGACACGAATTTGAAATGTTGCATCGATCTTATGTCTGGCAGCCGAGTCGATCGTTAGAACGGCGTGGAATGGTCGAAACGGAAGTCGTCGATTTCGCGGGTGAACGTGTCATATGCGCCGGCAGGCTCAAATTCAACCTGGCAGTCACCCGGTATTATTGATCAAAACTTTACCTATCATCTGACAGCTTGTTGTCCGCAGTTACCATGGCATCAGCGATCATTCGAATCCTCGCTCTCTTCTCTCGTCTCTTTCTCGCTCGCCGTGTTCGCCAGGCCCGCGAAGTCACCCCCGTCGCTCTACATCACCATCGTGCAGCGCACGAGGATTTAAACTGAAAACTTTCGGGCTTCCTTCCCTCTACCCGTGGCCCTTCCACCGGAACTCGGCCACGTCGAATCCCCGAAAATTAAGGGAGCCCGTTATACCTCTTGCTCGCACCCCTAATTGCACCTCTTATCAGCGGCTTCGACGTGCTCGGCCCAGGGATGGGCAATGTCAATGGATAATTTCTTCGGTCTTTGTCAAATTTACCTTTTCACCTTCACTCACTCTTTACTGACGGAGTATTAGATACACCCAATGTCGTGATTAATGTAATTTTAATCACCTTTGCTTGCCACTAATAAATTCTATTTTAACTAACGATTATGTTTGTTCCAAAATTATGCAAAAATTTATCTATATCTCAATGAGAGAGAGAACTTACTATTTTTGTATTGTCGTTGTACAGTAAATTAGTCTTACTATGACTGAAGAGTCAGCTTTTACGATTCTACGACCGGAGTTTGTGTCCATCCCTGTTCCGATTTCTGCAGGAACGGCTGTCTATCGTGCTCGATCGGAACTGGAAAGTTTGGCTCGCGAGGATTGCCAAGAATTTTTCGAGGCCCCGTTTCGCGATCGAGCCGTCTCCATCGCGATTGATGGACGCCTGATTTGCCCGCGACACGAGAAATCGGAATATATAAATTATTTCGTCAATCGTCTACGTCCGAGTCTCGCACAGGAGTCTCTATGTTACATTAGTTGAAAAAAAAATATGTGCGTAATGAAAAATGTTCTTTTGAATTAGGGAGAGTGCAATTTTAATTAGACCTGACAAACGTGTCTGTAAATTTTTAGAAAATGGAAGACGAAAGTTCCTTCGCCGCTTTGTTAGACGATTCCACATCCGATGACGAGAAATCTATCAACGATTATTCATCCAAGTTGAAGATATCCTTTATAATAATGTCATTTTAATAATGTTCCAAACGACGTTTAAAGAAGTTGTTTTTACGCGTTTTCCTTAATAACGATTACGATGCTTTGGAGAATTTCGTTCAGAGATATGACACAGAATTATTGCAACAGACTCTGCAGGATTGTTTGTCCTCGTGCCCAGAAAATTTATTAAATCAGAATATTTTCAACGAAACACTTCCCTTCGCTTATTCTCTCCTGTCTGAGGTAAATTAATAATAGAAAAACAAATTTATTGACGTTAGTGAAAAATTATTTAAAGTACTGAGAATTATTTAAAATACTAAGTAAATTATTTAACGTGAATGGTTGCTATTATTTTGTGCATAAGCATTCTGAGTTTACTCTCGTCTAAAGGCTTTAACGCAAATTGATAAAACGATAAACGCAAGTACGAATCGAGACAAGAAGCAAGATGTGAAACGACAATTACTCGTTTGTCACGAATTATTGAGCGTATGGGAAAGATCCATGGAACGCGTGTCGAAATTCAGTAAAACGTCTGCGACTGATCTTAAGTGCATACTGGAAAATGTGTCTCCTGCGATTAAATCCACGTTCGAGCATTGCAGAACAAGGTGAGATTAATATTCATGAATATTAATAAATATATCTTTCAATCTAACTGATGATATCGACCATCTAAAAAATTTTGTTCTATTATAACTGATAAAATTTATAAAATAAATAATACTTTATTACTAAATTAATAATAAATTAACTGTATAAAAGTATTATTTATTTTATAAATATTACTTTTATACAGTTAATTTATTAATTTATTTTTATCCAGTTAATTTATTGTACAGTGGATTTATTTTATAAATAATACTTTTATATACGTCGTTATTTAGTTCAGCTTTCCATCAAGTTTGTATTCAGTATACGTATAATTCAATTAATTGTAATTACATCTGTGATAAGAATATCAAAATTACATATTAAATATAATAGTGTGTCAGTCTGAGTAAAATTTCAATGCATGCTTTGACTACTTGAGAAGACGAACAGAATCAGCTTTGTATATTTATAGTAAAACTTTTTACGGGAGTTTGCTTGAGGACGTTTCGGAGGAATTGACGAATCTCTTTCGCAAAGCGAAAACGATCTTGAATCTATTCTTAGCCACTTTGGACGGTGTAATAGTTTTCGACACGGATACGGAATCTGAAACGGACTTGTTGATAAAAGGTGAGCGATTCTATTACGTCTTAACGATTCTTTAACCGAAGCCACCTTTTATTTCTATCGGGTACGCGACTTATATGAAAAAGGACGACGCTGCTCTGTTCCGTACCTCGTTTCGCATGCTTTCAGATATTAATATTTTACCACCCCCATAAATGTTTTCTTTAATTACATTTTTGTTAAAATTCATATCCTTGTGTGCACCGAAAGTGATCGACTCGATAGGACTGTTCGTTAACATTGCAAACGAGTTGGATCTAAGAGCCTTCGTAGAGACCGCAAAAATGTTTGGCAAATTGGCGATTAAGCATCAACAAACAGTGCAACAAATTGATGTTACGATTGTCACCGGGCATGTTGCACAATTGACAAAAAGTATATCTCTTATGCTGTTGTTCTATCAGGTACGTACGTCCAGGGTTGTAACGTAATTAGTAGTTGAAGAAAACTGAAAACAACAGCATCTATTTTTATCTACATATTATTTATTGCAGTTTGTGTTATGTACGACTTAATAAATAATTTTACAGCGATGATAAAGTCGTTTTATTGTTCTTAAATAAATTAGAAAAGGAAGATTCATAGTTCACTTATCTCAAATCTTAATCGACAGTGTAGGATTGTAAATTATTAGTTGTTGTTCTACTCTCACTGATATGATTATCGCTCTTATTGTGACTAGCGAGATTTCCTTCGCACGTTTTACAACAGTTCTTCAATCATATCGTATGAAACAATAAAATGTGATTAGAACATAATCAATGGATGATTACAAGCGTGAAATAGAAATGATTCATGTCCTCTTATGATAGATAAAGGCTACAGGAAACAATTAAAAATTGTATGATAGGAATTTTCAACTATTTAGGATTGAAAAAATTAATACCGTCAAACATAGTAGTATAAGTTTTTATTCTTTGAACAAACGCATTAGCTATACCACCGATAAGAACTCAAT